GCCTTCCGTGTGGGTCACTGTGTGGAACATGGACGGGACCGGCTCTGTGCCTTCCGTGTGGGTCACTGTGTGGAACATGGACGGGACCGGCTCTGTGCCTTCCGTGTGGGTCACTGTGTGGAACACGGACGGGGCCGGCTCTGTGCCTTCCGTGTGGGTCACTGTGTGGAACATGGACGGGACCGGCTCTGTGCCTTCCGTGTGGGTCACTGTGTGGAACATGGACGGGACCGGCTCTGTGCCTTCCGTGTGGGTCACTGTGTGGAACATGGACGGGACCGGCTCTGTGCCTTCCGTGTGGGTCACTGTGTGGAACATCCGTTTTCTTCCTCTCCCGCCCCCGCGAGGCACTTCCTGTCCCCGGGCGTGCGAGGGCCACGCCAGGCTCCGTGGTGCCGCCGGGAAGCAGCGCATGTGCCTGAGTCGTCCATTTTCGGTTCCTGCTTTGCTCCCGGGGATTTGCTTCTCTCAGCTTCACCGTGTGGGTGTGACACGTGGGTGTTCCGTGTGCACACGTGGGCCAATTGTGCACGCGTGACTGGCAGCCTGTGAACCTGTGTGGGCATGTGCACCTGTGTGTTTTAGTGTGATCACATGCCAAAGCACATGCAGGCACGTGTCTCTGTATTGGTGTGTACATAGAACACGTGCATACATGTGTAGACACGGGCCCACACACCAACAAACACACATGTGTCCATGTGCTTGCGTGTGTGGGCGTGTGTGCACACACGGCAATGGGTGCCGGTGCATGTGCGCGTGTGACTTCACGTGTGGGCAAGTGCGTGCACACATTAATGTGGCCCCGTGCCGCTGTGCATGACCACACACGTGGGCACATGCACACAAATGTTGACAGAAGTCTCTGTGCTGGTATGTGGACACACAGAACACATGTGCACATGTATGTTGATCTGTGTTTCTGTGTTGGGGTGCACACGTGTGCTGTGTATCCCAACGGGGCCTGGCCTCCCCAGGGCTGGCGCTTCTCCTTCGGGGAACAGTTCCCAGGGGTTCCGTGCTGCCGGGAGAGGCAGTGGGTTACCCAGAACTCGCCTCCGGCGGCTGCTGGCATCACCCCCAGCCGACGGGCAGAGCGCGGGCAGAGCGCGCTGCTG